GGAATCATTTTTTTTATCTCATTTATGAAACTTAAAGTTATATTTATTGTAGTGTAAATATCAATATAATCTTGAAATATTTTGGCCATGAGTTCAGCTCTCGGAATTTTTATGAATCTATAAATAATAAATTTCAAGTTACATTTGGAAAATAACTCTCCTTGAATAATTCTGATGCTAATTTCCTAATTTGAATAATCAATTATGATTGTGAGTATATAGAACCCATATATGATGCTACGTATGTAAATGTCATGCTTATTTGTATTGATTTGTGGTTAAATTATGTTCAAACACAAATTCTTACAACTATAAACTCATGAACTAATAACCTGTGTCGTGTCCTGAAAATTCACTTTATGATACTGAACAACTTTACCGATTATCAAATCCATGGGCTTTGGCCTGTAACACTTGAGATTTAATATAAACGGATTAATAGTACTACTCATACCAACAGAGGTGCATCTCCTTTTAAGGGAGATCATCACCCAAGAACTCCAAAGTTAAGCGTGCTTGCACGGGAGTAGTCTTGGGATGGGTGACCCCCCTGGGAAGTTTCTCAGGGCGCGCATGAGTGAGGACAAAGTGCGCGGTAAAGGCTCGTGGTGGTTTGTGAGGACAGTACTAGAGGTCTGGAGTAACTACCTCGGGTCCTGCGGGGCCGGGGGGTTACGGGTGGTATCAGAGCAACCCTGCGACAGTGTGCTGACCCGTTGAATATCGGGCAGGCACTTAGCGGGGGAAGATTCTGGGATTTGATTGAGATTGGTTTAAGGGCGCAACGAGGACGTTGCGATCCTAAGTGGGGGTGATTGTAACACTTGAGATTTAATATAAACGGATTAATAGTACTACTCATACCAACAGAGGTGCATCTCCTTTTAAGGAAGATCATCACCCAATAACTCCAAAGTTAAGCGTGCTTGCACGGGAGTAGTCTTGGGATGGGTGACCCCCCTGGGAAGTTTCTCAGGGCGCGCATGAGTGAGGACAAAGTGCGCGGTAAAGGCTCGTGGTGGTTTGTGAGGACAGTACTAGAGGTCTGGAGTAACTACCTCGGGTCCTGCGGGGCCGGGGGGTTACGGGTACTGTCCCCAACGAGCCCGTGGGACCGGGGTGTTACATGGCCGCTTTGCCATATATCATTATGAATTTATCTGTAGCTTCCACTCCTAGCATGTTAGAATTAACAAATTTTAATCGTTTTTTCTAGATTTCCTCTATACTTCAGTAATGTTTCATCTTTTGAGATTTCATTTTCTTTATAAGTCGTTGATACAAAAAATTGATGATGATGATGATGATGATAATAATAATAATAATAATAATTCAATTCGTTCCCGGTCTGCTCTTGATAATCCCAATGAGGCAATGATCGAGTATTTCAAAATAATCCCGACTTTAAGGATATCCATCAAGAATCGTTTCACGTGACGGGCTACATGTTCAGTCAATTGACAATGAAATATCTGATTATAATAATCCTAAATATCGTCTTTCGACTTTTATCAGACCCAATAAATCAAATCATTAGAAGTTCTTTTAACTATAATTACTTTTTAGGTAGTTCAAAGAAGTAAAGAATATATAATATATAAGTAGAGAACATGGATTTTTTTTAATATAATTTTCATAATTAAAATGTTGTTATATGTAAGATATTATAAACACGTACAAAGAACATAAAATATAAAAATAAACAGAGTAAAAATTTCAATGTAAAATCTTTAAAGGGAAAATCAAAGTGTAAATTAAGTACAATTTAAATTCTGAAAAATGAAAACCTATGTTTTTAAAATTAAGAAAGTGAAAAAAATATTAAATCTAATCATCCCAAAATACTCATTCATTTTAAAATTAGTCAAAAATCAATATGATTAGTTTTCTATTGGGAAGTGACACTATATGAGGATATATCCGGTCATGGACCATTATTGGAGAACAAGCCATATAATTGTGATTATACAAAATATAATAAATAGTTGAGATTATTGTTAGCAGATCGACAATTATTGGTATTATTATGTTCACTTTTCCCTTATTGACATAATATATTGACATTGTATGCAATTCGAGCCTTTACATGTGTCGTGCATGGGATAAAATGAAATATATAAAGGTAGAATTTGACTAAATACACATGTTGTGCGATTTAATTAGATTGTGTTTGAGACAGATAAAAGTAATTTTACTTCAATAGTTGATTATATGTGTAATTATTGTTCTTACAACAAAATGATAGTTGAAATAAGTTTATGTTTAGATAAAGATGATAAAAAAACTGATTTCATTTGGATTGCAAAATAAAATTAACATAGACATTTTGAATTTTTCATCGAAATGTTATATATAGAGCAATAGTGTGTTTGAAACGTTCAAAATAAGATTCACTCGAGAAAAACGTATAATCATCTATAGTTATAATCAATTAAAATCACACTTAATTGTCGATGATTATAAATGACATGAACATATGTATTGCATTTCCTTTGTCTAAAAAAGGGTTGCCATATTAGTTTTGGATAATGATTTTAGCGATTATATTTGAAAATATTTTTTAAATTTTATGCTTTTATGCAAATAGTTTTTAATAAGGAACACTTTAATATAAATTTCACCTTCAAAATAATTCCGTATTAAATTATCATTAATCAAAGTTTACCATAACTGATCAAGAAAAGTTAATTTGACAAATATTTTTGGGTTACAAGGAGTAGAACAAAATAAAAAAATTAAATGTCATTTAATCCCTTGCACGACACATGTTGAAATATAATACTAGATAGTCAATTTATATCTTTTGACTCTAAATTGAATTGAAAAACTTCAGATAAATTATATCTACCGGTAAAATAGTCTACTATTGTTTAAACATATTAAACATTTAACTTACCAAAAGGATAATATTAATATGCACCGAAGAGAACTAAATGGAGATTTGTTTTTTTGTCCTTTATAATTTTTTCATCTTTTTTTTTGTAGTTTTAAAAATTGCCATTTTCTCTCCCAGTCAATTATTTTGTGGTTCATGTCATTTATTTCTCCTTTACACAAATCTCGGTTACACAGTTTTTACATTATTATTTCTCGTGTTGATCAAACTTGGCAAAACTATAAAGAATAAAGAGAGTACTATCGTTATGTTGGTTTGAGTAACTTAAGATCTCAATGAATCATATGGTTGTAATTCTATTTTAAATAATATAATTGTAAAGTAATTTAGTAGTGAAAAGTTGTTTCAAAAGGTACATTTTCTTTCATTTTTACTCATATTGATTATATATATATAGGTGATGAAAATCACAATGCCAAGAATTCGAGATGTGAATATATTTTATGTATTATATATACACGAGTAATCGATAATTGACCTTATCATAAGCAGACAAATATGGAACATAGTACTCCATATATGATAATTCGATGAAAGTTTATATTTTGTCAAAGAAATGTTAGCTTCCATTTCTTTAAAATTATTTTACTTTATCCCTCCAATGAATTACATGCCAAATTAAAATGAGTGTTTTGATTAAATTGCAAACCATTTAAGTGTCACTTGATTTTAACATGCAATATAACAATTATTGCTTAAATCAACGGTAATCATAATTAATCACTTCTTATTTAAGTATAGAGGGTGAAAAAAGTGATTTCATTTGGATGAAACTGAAATAAGTTTTATGTGACACTGAACAAATTAGAAATCAAATTTCGATATCAATATATATTTATTTGATTTTCCATTCTCTTTAGATACTATGAAATGACAATCACATCTTCAAATATGTTTTTCTACATTCTATAATAAAATTAAAAAATAATACTACGTAACATCGGTTACCACATGCACGGCACGGGTAAAATACTCCCTCCGTCCCAATTTGTTTTGCAAAGTCAACATTTTTTTGTCAACTAATAACAAAAGTCAATTCTCCATATGGATAATTAATTCAATTTTTAATAATTAAAATTTACATATTCAAAAATGACATTGAAATCACTTCGAAGTTGTAAACTACAAATTAGAATATAACTAAAAGTTGTCATCCTAATTAGGTAAACAAAACACGACTGTTTGACTAAGAAAATTCAAATTTGCAATTCCTTTTGGGACGGAGGTAGTACTCTAATAAAGACATGATTAGTCGGTGCAACACGCTGTGATCTGGGGGAGATCCGGTCTGATTTGGCAGTAGTAGTTTAGCAAATAGGCGGCAGGTTAGTGTTGCACTTGATGGGATTTGCTATGCAATGTGTTCTCACACCTCAGCCGCGCCGGCCAGCGGAGTTGTATTCATTAATCATCATTTATGCCGAAGCGACATTACACGGAAAGTGTGCGCTAATCCCCTCAACAAATGGAGGAGACTAGTACGTAAACATCCTCATCTAACTTTTTTTTTTTTTGAAATGACGTTTATGGATCGAATCTTTACAATAACATAATCTAAACTTCAATTTCTACATTTTTATTCGTAATATACAAAAATGTTATTACTATCCCATTTTTACTCCTCCCTATGTTTGTGGCTCACAAATGCAATTCATTTAATGTGTTGGACTTTTGTAAGCCACAAAAATAGGGTGAAGTACAAAATGAGGTACAAAATGGGATACCTATAGCAAAATTGTGTAATATATGTGCATTCCGTTTGTAACTTTGTAAATTACTCCGTAAAAAAAGGACGACGTTCCATCTCTTAGGACCCTAGCCGAACACATGTATACTTCGGAATGAGTGTGAGAACAAATATATTTCTATTATAATTTTCGGAATAAATATATTATTGTCATATTTTTCGAAAGAAGTATATTTCTGAAGTATATGTTCAAGTTGTTGAAGGAAATTACCTTTAATGTGCATTCGTTATAGATAGAAAGTATGTCTAGAGTTTTTATATGTATTAAGCTAATTGGCCCATTGGCCCATCTCTTGTACACCCTAGTTTTCTCCTATTTAAAGGAGGCTTGCTTAATGGAATAAGACACAACCCTCACTTCCCTACAACACGTTATCAGCACGTTGCTCTAAACCTAAATATTTTCCGCATCCCTTCACTCGGCTATCACCATCCTTAGCCGATCTTTTATCGTCCGCATAATTTTCCTTTTCATTGATGAACTATTGAAAGCTTCCGTACGAATAGAGGAGATTCAAGCACCAAAGATCGAACATCCTCCATCAACGATCCACGTCGCCCAGCACTTGGACTTGAGGTTAGTCCATTGAAAATATATACGTCGTAATATATTCAAAGCTCGTTTTTGTAATGAAAAAGATCTTTCGGAGTATTTCATTTTCGTTTATATATAATCACTGACAAGATAAATTTGTTATTCAACCGTTATATGTCTAAACTAGCACAATAGACACTCTATGTACGTTATATATATCCCTCTAGTAAATTCCATGCATACCCTAGATGATTTCATTATTTCAAAATATATCTCAGAATTATATTATATAAATAAAATAATCAACGTTAGGTTTATGTCTATAATCACCCATTACAAATGATTAAATGTTAAGTCTTCACTTTACTTATTTGATTTTAATATTTAAGGGAATGTTTGTGTAGACATGTAAACATAATACATACATTTTTAACTAAACGATTCCCCCCGCACCTCACATATGTAAGTGTAATCCAGAATTTTAAATTGTGACTCTACCCTCATTAATTTATTTTGTTTATTTTTAGTAAGACTGAGATCTTGGAACTAAATCCAATTCGCCACTAAAATGGTAAACTATCATACAATATATTTTGTAACGTCCATGAATCAATGAACAAAAATACTCCCATTATATTATTATTATAGACAAATCTGTGTATATACGTTAGATTATTATATAAACAAAGAAAATCATTTTTTTTAAACCCGTTAACCTTAAATGAGTAAATAATATGGCAAGTTTTATTTTGACTTTAATATTCCATTAATTGTGCATAACATACAATTGACACATGCATAAAATAAATGACACGTATGTATATAGATATTGCTGTCTCATGCATGAATTTGCCCCCTTTATTATTCTAGACTATATGAAAAAAACGTATTTTTCCACCCATTGTAACTTATGTGTATATTTCATTTTTAACAAAATCTTTTAGTATGTATTATTCCTTTTGCAATACCATATATAATACGTGGGTTATTAATTTTATATTATTATATGCTTAATTGATTGATATTCACACGTAATGTACCTCAATGTTTGCATATATGCATTATATAATACATAGTGCTTGACTACATGCCATAAAGTTAATTAGATGTCTCAATATTTACTTATTGCATAAGCTTACAATGTTTACATGCTTCCGTTAATTATATGTTGTCCAACGGTTAAATGCTTAGATTAGCACCTATAACGTATATAGAATTTGTATTGTAATACTTTCGAACTTAAAATATTATATATATATATATATCGTATTTTTAAACAAAACAGTTAGTGAGATTCAATATTTTCTTTAACACGAATTTTATTTAGAATAACGTTTTTTTACTTAGTCAAACCCGATGCTATCTATAATTTAATGAGTAAAAATTGACCCTTTTCGTTAATCAACTATTTTATATATTTGTCAAAGACAAAATCGGCAACCATTTACGCATTTTTTTAGCAATATTGCTTTCTTTACTTCCTTTACGATAATGTTTACGAAAATCAACTATTAGCAATATGTTTATGCATATGATGCACGTGTAAGATTAATGACATATCACACATTTATGTAATTTTATGTAATATAATATAGGTGTGATGAATGACAACACTATATTCATCCATCGATTCAACCTTTTCTTTTAATTACGTCTGCAATAAAGAACTTTTGCATGAAGAACTATAACTTTTCTCATTATACATTTATTATCGATACCCCATATGCAAGGCTGGTGGATGTACTCTTAATCTATTTTGTTTTTATTTAAGATGACTCACCCAACTGCACCCGAGTTTGACATTCTGGACTCAGAAGGACTTGAGTACCATAGATGGGTTTCTGACATAGAAACTACTTTTGTGGCTAAAGACTATTCCGTCACGCTTGCCGACCCTGAAAGTTTAAAAGACAATGCACCGTCTGAAAAAATAAAGGCTGCTGCGTTAATGTTCCTTAGACGCCATATTGACCCTAGCTTACGCTGGGAATACTTACAATTGAAAACCCCCAAAGAACTGTGGGACACACTAAAAGGTCATTTTGGGAACATACATGACACATTGCTCCCCGAACTGACAGTACAGTGGAATGAAATCCGCTTAGTTGACTACAAAAAGATCAACGATTTTAATAAGGACATGTTACGCCTCAAAGCGCGCCTTAATTTCTGTGGTAAACCAATCACAGAAGATGAAATGATTGATAAGACCCTCTCCACTTTCCCTACCTCAGCAATTATACTAGCGAACCAGTATAGGTTGGAGCATAATAACAAAAGAATAACCACATTTAATCAATTAATTAATTTGCTCCAAGTTGCTGAAAGACAAAATCAAGTTCTCTTGAATAACAATGCCAGACCAGTTGGGACAAAGAAAATTCCCGAGGTCAACTATGGCAAAGCAAACACTGGAAAGCACCCTCGTGGAAGAGGAGAGGGCCGTACTCGTGGAAGGGGGCGCAACAATCGCGGCGGGCGTGCGGGCCGAGGTACGGGCCGTGGAGGATCTTCCAATGTATGGCGAAGAGATGAGGGTGTAGGATCAAATGCCCGCAATGCATCCGGAAAACCTTCAGCCAAACGAGAAAGAAATGACAGAGACCCTTGCTATAGATGTGGAGTTGCAGGTCACTGGCATAAGAATTGCCAAGCAAATAATAAAATTGCGGCAGCTTACAAAAAGTATCGGGAGGCTAAAGAACAGGAATCTCATTTTGTGACCGACGAAGATAACGAGGTTGACGTTAACCTCACAATTGCTGATTTTGGCGGCAAGAAGGACACTGTTCAGTCAGTCGATGCACCTGACTTTGACTGATTGAATTTAATTTCTTTATCTGCTCATGGACTGTTGAACACTTTTACTATTTGCGTGTGGTTTTATATCTCTTTTGTGTTGGACACTACATGATTATTATTTTTCCCTTAATAATTGGATTGATAATCCAAACAATATTTAAATTGTGGGTTCGGATTTATATTTCGTGTCCTAATTATACAGGAATGACTCGAGGAGAACTTGAGTGTTTAGTAGATAGTGGGACCACACACACTATCCTACGAAATAGGCAATTATTTGTTAAATTAATAGCCTATAACTCTTCTGTGACTACAATGATTGGATCTTCAGACGTAGTAAGAGGGCGAGGTACTGCCCAATTCATGTTGCCTAATGGCACAAGATTCATCGTCACAGACGCTCTATATGCACCTAAAGCCACCCGAACCTTATTAAGTTTTAAAGATATTCGTGATAATGGGTTTCACGTGGAAACTCACTGTGAGAATGGTGTGGAATATCTTTACATTACCTCTAATGAATGCGGAAGAAAACGCATACTAGAGAAATTAATGAGTCAATCTAGTGGACTTTATGTCACCACTATTCGGATCTTTGAATCCTATGTTGTCACCAACAATGAAATTTGGGACACTGACTCATACAGGCTTTGGCACGATCGTCTTGGACACCCTGGTCGTGACATGATGATCCGTATATTAAAAAATTCGCATGGACATCCTTTCTTCCGAGGAAGGAATAAAAATGGGCAAAAATCAAACACATTGAAAGGTGTTGGCCCTACATTTATAGAGAACGAAAAAGCATCTTCTGAAGTACGAGAAGAATCAGCTCATGCATCTTTAACTATGTCCAGATCAAGAATAACATTTTGTAAAGCCTGTTCTTTAGCAAAAACAAGATCGAGACCATCCTATGCTAAAGATACCAAAGAAAACATCCCATTCTTGCAAAGAATACAAGGAGATATATGTGGACCCATCCATCCAGAATGCGGACCATTCAGATACTTTATGGTTCTGGTGGATGCATCGACCCGTTGGTCACACGTTGCTTTACTGTCCACACGGAACGCTGCATTCGCAAAGCTCCTAGCACAGATAATCCGTTTAAGGGCTCACCACCCTGATTATCCTATTAAGTCAATAAGACTTGACAATGCTGGAGAATTTACATCAAAGACTTTTGATGAATATTGCATGTCCATTGGGATCGATGTAGAGCATCCTGTTCCCCATGTACATACACAAAATGGTCTCGCAGAAGCTACAATCAAAAGACTACAAATGATAGCTAGGGCATTGGTTATGCGCACCAACTTGCCCATATCTGCATGGGGATATGCAATATTACATGCAGCGACACTTATTCACTTTAGACCCACCGCAAACCAACCATTTTCTGCGTACCAGTTGGTCACTGGATATGAGCCTGGCATTTCACATCTACGCATATTTGGTTCTGCAGTATATGTGCCGATTGCGCCCCCACAGCGTACTAAAATGGGTCCTCAAAGGCGATTGGGTATATATGTTGGGTACGAATCTCCAACAATCATCCGTTATTTAGAACCTTTGACAGGCGATCTTTTTACCGCACGATTTGCGGATTGTCACTTTGATGAGACAACATTCCCGTCGTTAGGGGGAGATAGGAAAACGAACTTTCCGAAGGAACGACAGGAATTGACCTGGTGCGTTCCAACCTTGTCTCACTTTGATCCCCGCACTTCACAATGTGAAGGTGAAGTGAAAAGAATAATCGATCTCCAAAATGTAGCAGACTCTATGCCTGATTCATTTACGGACATCGCTAAAGTGACAAGATCACACATACCAGCAGCAAATGTGCCTGCAAGGTTAGATATCCCCAAAAGAGGGAATAGTGCCATGGTAGGAGGCACTACAACCACACTTAGTGGAGGTGTGGTTGAGGCCGTGGCTCCTCAAAGGAAGAGAGGAAGGCCACTTGGTTCGATTGATACTCGCCCAAGGAAGAGAAGGACGAGTACGGCACAACCTAATCCATTGATCATCGATGTAGAACACCCCTCCCATGAGATTATCTCCGATTACAGTTATGTCCACAAATCATTACTGGAGGACGCTCCGATGTTTGATATGATTCTAGAGAATCGAGAAATCTCAATGGATAGTGAAAATGCACATGTGCTAATGGAAAGATCTTTCATACACATCGATGATATATTTGCATTTACCGTTGCTCAAGAAATTATAGAGCATGATGATATCGAACCACGCTCTATTGCAGAATGTCAACAAAGAGCGGATTGGCCTAAATGGAAAGAAGCAATCCAGGTAGAACTAGATTCTCTGACAAAAAGACAGGTATTTGGTCCGGTAGTGATAACCCCACCAAGTGTAAAGCCTGTAGGACATAAATGGGTATTTGTCAGAAAGCGAAATGAGAAGAATGAAGTCTTAAGGTACAAGGCTCGCCTCGTGGCGCAAGGTTTCTCACAACGCCCTGGGATTGACTACGAGGAGACCTACTCTCCCGTAATGGACGTTATAACGTTTCGATACCTAGTTAGTTTAGCAGTTTCCGAAGGACTGGAGATGCAACTAATGGATGTGGTTACTGCATATCTCTATGGGGATCTTAATTCAGAGATATATATGCAAGTGCCTGAAGGACTTTTACTACCCAAATCAAGTGACTCTAAACCACGGAGTGCGTTTGCAATCAAATTGAAGCGCTCACTTTACGGATTAAAACAATCCGGGCGGATGTGGTATACCCGTCTAAGTGACTACTTGTTTGGGAAGGGATATAAGAACGATGAACTATGCCCCTACGTATTCATTAAGAAAACAAGTTCCGGATTCGCAATTGTGGCTGTATATGTTGACGATATGAACATAATTGGTACTCTTGATGAAATTAGAGAAACCGCCAGCCATCTGAAATCTGAATTTGAGATGAAAGACCTTGGGAAAACTCGATTCTGTCTAGGCCTTGAGCTAGAACATCGAGTTTGTGGAGTATTAATCCACCAGTCCGCGTATATCCAAAAGATGCTAAGGCGATTTAATATGGATAAAGCGCACCCTGCTAGCACTCCCATGGTTGGTCGAAGTTTAGATCCTAAAAAGGATCCATTTCGTCCAAAGGAAGATGACGAAGAAGCACTCGGAGCTGAAATTCCCTATCTAAGTGCAATAGGCGCATTATTGTACTTGGCACAGTGCACTCGACCAGATATAGCATTCTCGGTGAACTTGTTAGCTAGGTTTAGCTCCGCGCCAACGCAGCGTCACTGGAATGGTATCAAAAATATTTTTCGATATCTAAAAGGAACTAGTGACTTGGGACTGTTCTTTCCCTACAGAGAGACAAAGAAAACCACAAATGAAATTGTGGTTACTAAAGAAAATACCAAAGACAAAAGGATCACCCCTTATATGGAAACTCCAAATGATGTCTTGGTAGGTTTTACTGATGCTGGGTATCTCTCTGACCCTCACAAAGGCCGCTCTCAAACTGGTTATGTTTTCACTATTGGGAACACGGCAATATCTTGGAGATCAACTAAACAAACCCTTGTGGCTACCTCCTCGAACCACTCCGAGATTATCGCTCTACACGAAGCAGTTCGTGAGTGTATATGGTTAAGAGCTATCATTACACATATTCGAGAAACTAGTGGTTTAAAATCTACCACTGAAGGGCCTACTTGCATTTATGAAGATAATGCAGCTTGTATTGAACAAATGAAGTTGGGATATATCAAGGGTGATAACACAAAACACATATCTCCAAAGTTTTTCTACAATAAGCAACAACAGGCTCTCCTCAAGATTCAAGTGAATCAAATAAGCTCGGAAGAAAACGTAGCAGACTTGTTTACCAAGTCATTACCCAAAGCCACTTTTGAGAAACATGTAAAGAACATAGGAATGCGAAAGCTTTCCAAACTTCCCTGATTAATGTAAATATCAGGGGGAGGTGTAGACTTTAGGGGGAGTCTTACACCTACGCATTACACTCTTTTCCTTAAACCAAGGTTTATTTTTCCCACTGAGTTTTGTTACTTGGCAAGGTTTTTAATGAGGTAACGGTACACGTTGATCAAAGTAAGGATCAAACAAAGGACTCAATGAACGAAGTTTGACACGGTTCGCATAATGTTTTCTTTCTGTCAAGGTTATTTTTTCCACAGGGTTTTTGTTACTTGACGAAGTTCCTACACGACAACTAGCTTGGTGTGTATCATTCTATCTACAACTCAGCACAAGGGGGAGTGTTGAAGGAAATTACCTTTAATGTGCATTCGTTATAGATAGAAAGTATGTCTAGGGTTTTTATATGTATTAAGCTAATTGGCCCATTGGCCCATCTCTTGTACACCCTAGTTTTCTCCTATTTAAAGGAGGCTTGCTTAATGGAATAAGACACAACCCTCACTTCCCTACAACACAAGTGCATATATACCCATGAATCTTTACAAAGTGCAAAAAAACTTCTCATGTTCTAATAAAAGATCAAATTTACCCGTACTTTAAATTGATAAAATAAATTCCAAAAAACACAAAAAATGAATTATAATTTCGAAATTTAAAAATATTTTTTAAAAAATGTACGTGTGTCCAATTCTTCCTTTTATTGTTTTTATATCACAATTTAATGTTGTTAGTATAAAGTATTATTTCAAAATTTTATTATATACGGAGTATTTAAGATTCTTTCAAAAAAATGTTAACATATGTTTTGCAATGTAAGAAAATATTATTTTTTGACATTCTTTGTATCATAAAATTATATATTTTTTATGGCGATAAATAGTCCAAGATTACAATATAGTGAATTTAATTTTATTAAGGTTAAACAAAATTAAAGAATGTTATTTCAAAAATGTAACAATGTGTTCAAAAATTTGCACAAGGCTAAAATCGGTATTTATGAATTTGAAGTGCTTCATTTACAATGAGAAAATAATAATTTTACAATTTAAAATCAACGAGTTAAAATTTTAACATAACAATAAATCTTTATTAATAAATTTTGATCAAATTTATAATTTATTTTTGGTGTTCTTTTTTTAATTTATGTTATCTATTTAAAGTCAATAAGAGTAGATTTGCTTCTTTAAAAGTTCAGGAAAATATATGTACTTCAATATATTCAGGGGTATATTTGTTCTGAAAAGTGAAACATGAGTATATTTGTTCTCACACTCA